AGTTATTAATCTTGCTGCTTTTTGCTGTAGCTGTATGTTATCTGCCCACAAGCAGACAGGCTGAAGCTGCTGGACTCACAGCCAGTTCCAGTTCTCTCCTGTACGTCTCCTGCTGCCTCTGCTGTGATTTATAGGTGGCGATGCCAGGAGACCGGGCGGAAAAAGCGCTCTGTTACCTGCAGATATGTATGTGCTGAGCGTGGCCTCGCCGGCTGCGCTTTGCTGAGGCTGGACCCAAGGTGTGGTAGCTCCTATAAGCAGAGAAGTGTATAGAATACCTTCTATCTTTGATCGTCTTTTCTTGACTCCTGCTCCTGTGTTTCTGTTCTTCCTCCTCCTCTTTGTGCCTTGGGAGAGATGCAAAGCACCTCTGTCACCTGCTCCCCAGGAGATCATCTGGGAAAGCTGAAATAAATCCCCTCCCAGGGCACTGAGGTAGGGGGAGGACAAGGTGGGGATGATCCTGAGAAGCAGGGTTTATGTTTCCCTGCTCCAGTCCTCGGGCGTTAGAGACCTTATAAATGCCCATAAATATCTGCAGGGTGGGGGTCAGGAGGACGGGGCCAGACTCTTTCCAGTGGTGCCCAGCGACAGGACAAGGGGCAATGGGCACAAACTGAAGCAGAGAAAGTTCCATCTGAACCCGAGGAAGAACTTCTTCCCTCTGAGGGTGACGGAGCCCTGGCCCAGGCTGCCCAGGGAGGCTGTGGAGTCTCCTTCTCTGGAGATATTCCAGACCCGCCTGGACATGGTCCTCGGGGGATATCCCAGGCCCGCCTGGACGCGGTGCTGTGCAGCCTGCTCTGGGTGACCCTGCTTGGGCAGGGGGTTGGGCTGGGGGATCCCCAGAGGGCCCTGCCAACCCCTGCCATGCTGGGATTCTGTGATCTGGGGCTGAGCTTGAAGGAGTTTCAAGGTATTTTCTTTGGTTGGGGCTTCAGTCAGGAGATTTGTTACTGGGCAGCTCTGAGAAGTGCAGCTTTGTGCGACAGCGTGTGTCTTGCTGAACCAGTACACAGAAACCCCGAGGTCCGAGGTACTTTCAGAAATGGATTACTAATTATTTATGTTAGCATAACGTTCAGGAAAGGAACTTTCCCTTCATTCTTTGTTTCTTCTATACCCAAAGGAATAAGCTGCTTTTATAACTGACTCCAGGCTTTGCTAGAACAAAAGTTGCCAAGCGTTTCTCACAAATATGTCCTCTGTCTCTGGGAACAGATGTCAGTCAGAGCTGGTTAGTGGAGGAGTGAGACAGAACACAGCATTTTTAACCAAGCTATCATGAATGTGAGGAACGAGTGCCGTGGTCCTGAGCACTGGCTGGGCTGGCAGAGTGCATGCCCGGATCCTCCACGGCAGCACATGAGCAAGAAAGATTTGATGATGGGCTATCCTGCTCGTAAAGGAAAGGCAAATTACACGGACAGCTTAATGAGATTTTGTTGCACTCAAACTCTTGCAGTGCTATAAAGACACATCCTGAGCCTGTCACATCCCAGTGTTTCTGTACAACCAGTTAAGATACAAAAAGGGCTGCAGACCAAGCCATTTATCCTTCTTTGTGAGGTTATCCCCTAAAATCTTCTCTTTTGCTATTTTTTTACCTTTCACAGCTGATTTCCTCCTCCAGCACTGGCTCGCCTGTCACCTCTGCCTTGTTCCCAGCTGTTCGCTGTGCAGCCAGGGATGCGCTGGCAGGATGGTCAGGACGCGCTCATCAGCTGGGTCCTTGGATCTCTCTATTTCTCCTATTTTTAATGATTATTGCTGATTTGTTCTGACCTAACTCACAGTGGCTTCTGCAAGCTTTCAGCTGGAGTGAGGGAAAAAGTAAAACAGAAAAATGGCACTTAGACAAATGCTGTGAAGTTAATTAAGGCCTTCCACTCACTGGGGCGTTTCTCTACACATGTCTGTGAGCAGTTTAGGGGACCGGACTGCTGAGCAGCTGTGAATTAGCTTTGGTTTTGTAGGGAGAAAAGGCACCATCTCTGCCGTGTCACGACTTCCCCCCCCTCCAAGCTGCTTTGCTGGGCTCCAGCTGCTGAAAGTTGCTGCTGGGGTCTTCCCTTGCAGTTTCTGGGCACCAGCTTTCTGTCAGTGGGTCTCGGACCAGTCAGACCCTGAGTGCCATGGCTTCTGGGATGGGCGCTGACCCCATAGCCCTGCTAGGAGCCACAGGTCCCTCTTTTTTCTCCCAGTTCCGCAGTTTGGGCGGCCTGCCTGGGGCCGCAGGGCCATGGATGTGAGCGCACGGCGTGAGCAGGCTCCAGCATCCAGCCCTCCCCGCTTCGACTGACGCAGGATGCTTGTGGGATGCCCACCCGGGTTTCCTCACCACCTACCTCAATTTACCTGAAAGGCTCAAACGTGGATTTTTAGACCTAGAGCTACCACCTCATCCCCTCAGTCTTCTGTTTCTATTGCCAAAAGTGGCTTTGTTTGGGATGCAGCTGTATTTTTGGTTTTTTATTTTTTTCTCTCTAGGCAAAATCTGGCTAGGGTTGTATTGTTTTTCAACAGTGCCTGATTCACGGGCAGACACAACAGTGACAGCTCAGCTGTACGGGCATGGATGGTTTGCACGGCTCAGCTGTGATTTGATAACGATCCGTGGACCAGCTCTCTAGCCATGGAGATGGTGGGCTGTAGGGTGCCCAGTGCCAGGTTAGCTGGGGGATCACAGTGTTGACCATGTGGGAATTAATTAATGATTAGAGGGTTTGACTGGCGCGAGGGGGTTGTTGCTGTAGTTTGAGCAGGGTGTTTTTAGCATCAAGCCCATTAGGAGAACAAGACTGGAATGGAAACTTTTGCTAGCATCATGAGACTAATTGATGATGTCCCCCATTCACTCCCATTTTCTCTTTGAATTCAGAAACAAAGTGATGAGCATATTGGGCACCCCTCCCCTCAGCTTGTACCAGGAACCCAGGCTCTGCTTAATGACAGCACAAATCCATCTTAGCTCACTAGAGACTAATTGTGCCGTTAGTAGCAACATCCAAGGTGGATGTTTAAGATTATCTTTTTGACTTGAAGTGTGTGGTGTTCCCAGACTGCAGAGGTTTATAAGTGAGCAATTAAGTTGTGAGGATGGAGGCAAGGGAGAAGAGGAATGAAATCATTGGCATGGGTGCAGAAGATTAAATTAGAAGTTTCTGCATGTGATGGTTCTTGGTTTAAATTGTCTGCTGTTGCTTATGCTCAAACTGCATTGATAGAGCTGATGTAATGTGAATTTTCTGGTCATGAAAATGTAGGAACAGGTGTCCTATAGAGTAGATACTCTGCTCTTCAGGTCCTGGCTTGCTGCTGCCTCTCTTGTCGTCCAGGATCTCAGCATGCTTTTTTCCTGATCTCCAGCACCTCCCGCGGATGGAGTCTGGCCCTTTCCGCACAGCAATGCTGATCCTGCTCTTCCCTGGCCCAAGCTTGGCAGCAGTGTTAAGTCAGTCAGTAAGTCAAGGATGGGGTTTTTATCCAAGTGTAGCTGTGCTGTGAGTGCTCCCCACACAGCCATGTCCTCCGCTGCCGAGTTTGCCAGACATCCTGTGTAATACACATTACATAGTAAAACTGTATGTCTCGTTTTGAAAAACTCTACTTTTTCTTATATTTTTTTAATGATAGCTGGCCACGTTGCTGAATGGAGAAAAAGGGCTCCTGGGCAGACACAGATAAATCACAGGTGCACACCGTGCATCGCTGTGCTCCGGCATGGGACTCCTGCTGTGTCTGGGTGCTCAATCCCCAGGGGACTGCCTGGGATTCATGTCCCGCGTCTGGCAGCCGTGGCCTGTGGCAGCTCTGGACTCCCACTTTTCAGCCAGGTTTGCAGGTCCCTCTTGCTGCTGTAGCTCTTGGGGAAGGGTTGGCAAAGCGTCAGATTATGGTCAAGGTTGGGTCCCCACGGGCAGCGCTTCCAGCAGTGGTGGTTAACGAAGTGGTGGCGCGTTGTACCTTCAGTACCAGGTGGTTGCGGGCTCGCGGACCCCACTGGTGGAGTGGTTGCTCAGCCACTTCCAGCTTGGTAAAACAGCCTGGGGACCACCCTAGCACAAACTAATGGCGATTGCTTGTGCTCACTGTAAATGGTGCAGTCAGTGGGGAGCTGGTGAGGGGGTTTTTGCTCTGGACTGACTGCATGGTTGGCCTGTGTTAGGGGAACCCTGCCTCAAACCAAGAGTATTTTTGTTGAAGCATTGTAGGAAGTGCTGCAGTAATGAATGGACGCAGTTTTGCCGTGCTCTCTGTGGGGTAGTGTGCCCTGCAGGGTCTTTGCTTGAGGAGCTTGCATCATGGTGGCTTGTGGATACTGTGACAATATTTCTTCCTTTGCCATGTCCTAAAACAGTGAAGCCATTTCATTTTCTGTGCAGAGCACCTAAAATTTGAAGAATCATTCAGTTTGGGGGCTGTATTTCTTACCAGAGCTACTGCAGCGTGTCAGAGGACCTACTTGCACCCTGCTCTCTGGAGATTCTCCTCAAAGAAGGGTCCCTGAACAAAAATTAATTTTGCACACACAGAGTAAACTGTATAAGTAGAAACTGCTTCAGATATTAGGAAACACCAGACATCACTGCTTGAGAGACTTCTGACTTTATTATAGGGAAAACCTCTGGCAGGTAATTTCTAGCACAACCGAGGGGATTATTTCTCACTCACTGTCTTCTGAAAAATGATGTATACTTTCTTTTAAGTACAGGGTGCTGCATTTTTATGGCCAGAACCAGGTCTGTTCACTGTGTGTAAATGACCTCATAAGCCAGCAGATATTGCAGATTTTCTTATGGTCTGAGCCAGGCTCAGCAGTTCTGGAGAAGGGTGTGAACTGATGATTTTCAGTGGATGCAGTTTGCGATGTGATCGCAGCTTATAAAGTTTAAAGAAGTTTGAATATTTGCTGGTTTTACGCAACACTGATCCACGATTTGGAAAGAGGAACTTGCATTTCATCTCAATTTTTTCCCTCTCTCCCCTTTTACAATTAGGATTCTAGCGACTGCTGGGACTGATTTCGACCTGCGGACCCTGCGAGCCGTCCGAGTGTTACGACCCTTGAAGCTGGTGTCGGGAATCCCAAGTGAGTGTCACAGTAGCATCTTCTTTACAGCCAGAGGTGCTTTGTAGCTTTTGGGGTGTAACATGCTTTTCTAAGCAGTATTTTCTTCCCCTGCTTCTTTGCGGTCTGGGGCTCCTGCCTTTGCTAGGTTCTGATTTTCTGTCATCCCGTTTTGTGTACAGCCAGCTGACTTCAGCCCTGTGCTCCCAAATTTGCAGGTGGGCAGCAGGGATTCGTCCTGGGACTCTTTTGCCTTTGGCGTTGAATTAATTCTCTGGGGTGTGAAGACCCGAGATCTAAATTTCGCAGCTTTCAGGCCCCCAGCCCTGAGCTTGGGTCTTCTCACAATTTTTACCAGCTGAGCATCTTGCATGAGGGATATCACCCCTTTAATAACAGAAAAAACAAAGGGAAAGTTTTTTTGGAAAGAGTAGACAGGATTTGATCTTGCCTACTAGGTGGGCAACTTCATATATTTTACACGCTAATGTGACAGGTCTGAATGCTCTGGTGGGGAGCTGCATCGTGCCTTGCTGATGCCCCCAGACCACCAAAGTCCCCACACCGTTCCTTAAAGCCTTTTTATTTGTCGCTGTTCACAGTTGCTCTGCCCGCTAGCGGGGAATCCCTGTCAGGAGTGTATTTCATTTTTGAATGTGGAATAGAGAGATTTTTCCCTCTGGCAAGAGCCAGTGAAAGGGAACCGCTACTCTGTGGGATGCTCTGCTCTGCATTAATCCCTTGGCAGCCCCCTCTCCTCCGGGGCAGTGGGTTGGGGCATCAGCTCTGCCACCTCCCTGGCTGCTTCAGGGCTGCCATGTCGGTGCTGTAGAAATGCAGCAAGGGGTTTCGCTTTGCAACAACAGCACCAAAAGTTCCTGAAATCAGCATCCTTTCATGTGTGGGGCTTTAACCTGAATTCCCACGCAGGAGAGTCCTTGGCTAGCTTGGGAAAGGTGTAATTTATTAACAGGATCTCTAAAAAGGAGATGGTGCTGGCTATTTTTTCATGGATTTCTTGCCTGTGCAAGGCAATATGGTGTGGTGGTAGAGACAGTCTAAGGTTGTCAGAGAAGTAAGGTGGCCCTTTGAGGTGTCCCTGTGCTGGTGTGGGTTGCATGTTCCCCCCAGGAGGACGTGCTCTCCCACCTGGTGATGTGTCCTGGACCAGCACAATGTTTTCCTACAGAGCACTATTCGCTCTCATGTTCTTAGTGGTGCTGTGAAAGCTGTGTGCTGTGTTTTTTTCCTGTAGTAAAGGTACAACCTTGAGGTGCATTCGTACACAAGCATGGTACATGCTTTTCTTCTGCACTCTCAGTATTTTTCCCGTCTAACAGATCTTCATGCTTTTTTTTCTGCCTGCACCCGTATTGACCTCAGTAGTGCTGTACAAGGTGGCAAGACAGCAATGATCCTTCATTTCCTGTACCTTAGGACAGGTCACCAAGGTGGCTTTCAACTGCTGCTTATCGCTGAAGCTTTTTTGTTATGTGCATCTGTATGACGCTATCTGACACCTCCATCTCTCCAGCCTCTCTCGGCCTTATCTCATCTGGTTTTAATTGAAAACGAGTTTTAGTGAAAAAGCTGTGGACGGATAGCCCTGGAGACAGGGCTTTGTTTCTCCAGAAGCGGGGTGTGACAGGCATGGCAGCATCACGGCTGCTCTGTGTGTGCTGGAGGGAGAGGCAGCTCCTGTGCAGCTCAGCGTTCCCTGCCCGCCCCGGGACAGGGGGTACCACAGTAGAGCCCAGCTCTGCTGCTGCATCCGCGCTGATGCGGGACCTGCCTTAACGACCCGGTCCAGCTCCAGGCTGAGTCTCGGGGACTCCACCGACTTCAGGAAAACTAATTTTTACGTCTTTGAAGCTTAAGAGACCTTTGAATCTGTGATCTGAAGAAAAGGGGTCAGAAAATGATAACTCTCCTGATTGTCTCTCTTGTGTCTTGAGTGCATTATGGCTGTAGCATCTTTTTTATAGCAGCATGGTTTGGTATTGCCTTAACTTTCCCTTAGACAGCCCCTCCCCTCCCCTGCCCCCACCCCCGAGCCCTTGCTTTCCTTCACTCACTGATTATGTGTGTTTCCTTGTCCCCACAGGCTTGCAGGTTGTTCTCAAGTCCATCATGAAGGCAATGGTGCCCTTGCTTCAGATTGGGCTGCTCCTCTTCTTCGCCATTGTGATGTTTGCCATCATTGGGCTGGAGTTTTACATGGGGAAGTTTCATAAAACCTGCTTCTCTAACGAGACAGGTGAGCTTTGGGCTTCGCTCCCCTTCCAGCGTATCATCATGATGCTTCAAGTCCCCTTCATCTCATCAGGATGCTTTTATCCTTCCCTTGTGTTGCTTTTCTATTTTGCTCTTCCATGTTCACTGCATTCTCTCCCTCTTTACCCATCTACTCTAAGAGTTGACAGGCTTTTGTGCTCACCAGACATGGAGTGGGACGGATTCTCCTCTCTTACACCACCACACCACCCTTGATGATAGTGGGTTGCTCTCAGTCTACACAAGAGTGAGATGAAGGTGCTTAAGGACTTGTCTCATGGGAGAATGTTTTTTACAGTAGAAATACAGAACCAAGATCCTGATATTCCAGCTAGTTGAAGGGTTTTTTATTGGTTGTTTTGGGGTTTTTTTTGATTCATTGGTATCTGTTTACATTTTCATGGGGTTTAGCCCTCTGAACAACTGCTGAACACTGCATTGCCTTGCAAGGTTTCTGGGGCAAGTTGTGTAGGTATGAGAAAACTTCCTTGTGAAATAGTAAGATTGGAAAGACTGAGAGGAACTGGAAAAAAAAAAAAAGACAATAGATGGAAGGCAAGGAGCCCTTTGGAGAAAGGATAAAAATGTCCTTCAAAGAGAGCAGAGCAAGGGAAATTGGGCACTGCAGAGTCAGTGACGTGTCTGCCTGTGAATGAGTGATGAACCTCAGAAGATGGAGGTGGTGAGGAGTAATGCCCAGAGACCCTCAGCTGGGACTGGCTGCCATGTCAAAGCCAGCTGCTTGTCCATGGCTCAGAACCTATTCCAAATAAATTGGCTGGGATTTTTTTTTCCCCATGTAATTTTCTAATACTCCTTTATAGCAGTGCTAATATATGTCGGTTATCTGTGCTATCCACAGACGAAAATATTGTTCTTGTCTCCAGAAGATTACAATTTAAGGTACAATTGACTGTCTTTAAAACACAGTCTTGTATTTTCAGTGATTATCACTAATAGGTCTTAATATTGATTTATTTATATGCATTCAAATGGTAATAAAACAACGTCCCTGCCAAATCTCTGGGCATCCTTCACAGCGCTTTCTAACAACATGGAAACAGTTTAATACATTCAGCGTGCTCAGAGCTTTGCAGTTGCAGGGTGAAATTGCTTTCTTGCTCCTGTTCCTATGTAATGTTAGAAAAACAAAACACAACTTGTAAAGGACAGTCAGGTGTTGAGTGAAGCACGACGATTCCTGGAAGGAATGAATTTTTGGACCTGATTTGTAGGAGAGGAGAATCTTTTTGCGAGGTGTGTGTGTGTGTTCAGACCAGGCAGAACAGGTTTCAGCCCGCTGCAAGGTCTCTGGGGCTACCACAGCAATTACAGAGGAATAACAACAACGCTGACAGCACGGATGTGTGGGGAGCAGCCGCGTTTCTGGGTGAGACGGCAGCGAGAAAGCAGTTATGAGCACGTTTGCATTTTCCAGGAGCGTTTTCAGGTCTGTTAAACTGCAACCAAGATGGGTGTTTTTTGCATCCTTTGTTTGCGGGTAGCAGCTGCAGGCTGAGCTCTGAGGCTCTCTTGCTACTGGGCTGACTTGAGCCAGTGGGCTAAAGAGGGATTTTTTTTTTTGTTTTTCCCTCCTCCCCCCAGAAGCTAGTTAATGTAAAAGGGGAAAAATAAACCCCAAAGCTGTTTGTGTTCTCTGCAGACAGCGCTCTGACATCGCTGATGACTGAGAGATCTCTCTGCCAGGCTTGGGGACTGAGAGCAGATTTTTGTCACGTGTAACGTCGTGTGTGACTCTTGCTCGCTGGGTGGCTCCCAGCTAGGAATTGAGAGCGCGGCCAAAAAACGCTGTGTGTGACATATCTCCGCACCGCGGCACCTGGCAGCTCGGTGAGAGGACACGGCGTGGCCGGGCGCAGCTCTCCCCAGATCCGCTCGCCGGGCGGTGGGGGAAGGCGCCTGCGTTTACAGGCACCGGGCTGCTGCTTGTCCCAAGGGCTAACGGGCTGGCTGTCAGCTGGGTTACAGGGATCGATCCCACCCACTTGGCGGGAAATGGCGCGATGGTGTTTCTGGAAAGGCGGAGAGCGGTGAGGTTTCCTGGCGCTGCGGTCTCTTGCGAGTGGAGCAGCAGAGCATCCCACAAAGCCATCAGCCAAGCCTTTTAAAACCTAAGTGCTCTTAGTCTCCAACGAGGTGCATTAACAAGCCCAGGCCTGATACCGCGGGCTCGGCAGGCTGGCTTGAGTGTGGAAATGTGAACCTCGCTAAAGAGATGCCCCTGTCAGAGCGCAGCACGTTGGAGGGGGAGCTCGTGCTGGTTTCTGTTCCAAACCCCCAAGGCGAGCAAACTCCCGGGATTTTTCCTGGAATCAGGAGCCGCAGGAGAGGTACCAGCTGTTACTTCAGCACGTGGTGGACGGACCCGAGTAGAGGTGTCACCAGCAAATGCTGCTATAGCCCTGCTACTCCAGTGGCCCTGAGTAGGTCAGTCATAAACTGCAACACAGAGAGATGCTGGGGGCCACAGTACAGCAACAGGGTTATTCGAGGCCTTTGCCACTCAGCCTGACAGGCTGTTCTGAGCTAGTGGAAACATTTATTTTAATTAAATATGGGTAAAAATTAATGGCAGTGCATGATCCAGTGGATGCCAGACTTGTTTTCCTCTCCCTGTGTTCTCCTTGCTGTCCTGTTCTGCTGACACAGGGTTATTTTTAAGCAGCCACCCTCTGCAGCTGACCCTGCCCAAGAGCCCTGACGCTGCTCCAGGAGAGGAGGGCATCATATTCGTTTCCCATTTTTCCTTGAGATTCCCCTTTTCTCTGTCTTCCCCAGCCATGGGAGTAGGGACAAGTTCTGGCCTCTTTTTTTAAACGGGAAGAAAAACCCCAGACCTTCGTAGCAGACGTGCATTGCATTTTTGGAGCATTACCTGGCAACAGAAGGCCAAACAGAGATGAAACTGGATTTTCTTCTAAGGCACACTCATAGACCATGAGCCAGATTTGCTGTTTTCTTTTTGCAGGCTTGTCTCGCTAAGCCCTGGTGAAAGCCTGTGGTGACCCATCTGGGAGCTGGAGAGAGATACCCTGCACTAAGGTGTTGAACCAACAGGACAACACGTCACACGCACACATACAGCTACAACCTGCAGCCACAGTGGCAATCCTGTTCTCCTGCAGGCTTTGCTCTGTGGAATGATTATTCCTAATTATTGTTAGTGGTGATCTCGTTTTCCCACTGGTGAATTTGATTTTGTGCAGTTTGCTGCTCCATTACCATAACGTGTCACTTTTAAAACCTTTTAATATTTCCCGAATTGCATCTCTGTGTAAATAGGAATATTATTTAGTATATTTTTTTACTTTGAAAACCCAGGACTTTAGTTTTCCAAACTGCTCTCTATTGGTGCTCGCAACATCTCTAGAGGGCTGCAGCACTTCAGATTTCACAGTTGGCCCTGGAAGATGCTGACCACCCTTCTGGCCGTCCCTTGTGGTCCTTAATGATAAGAGGCTTATCCTCCTTTGCCTTCTCTGCCTCTGAAATGAAGCTCCGCAGAGAAGCTCCACGTACTACCTCTGCTCCACTGCATTGCCCTTTGAGGCTGACCCCTGAAGCTTACAGCGGGGCTGGAGATCTTGGTCCACCTCGCAGGCTGCTGTGGTGGTACCGCCTTGTGACATAGCAAGGGGCTCCTTGTGCAGCTGTGGCCTAACATCTGTATCTGGACAACTTTGGGGTTAAGCAGCTCTTGCTTAAGCCACTGGCAAAGAACCTGCCCTTTTGCTTTAATGTTGTAGTGCCAATATTTAGCACTTCTCTATGCTGTATGAGGGTGTATCATTGGCTCACGGTGTTTGAAGTATGCACCGTTCCAAAGCTCTTGCTTTTACTGCACTGTAGTTTTGTTTGTGGCATTTTTCATATATGGCATCGCTGAACACTATAAATTATAGGCACTTGAGGAATGGCTCTGCTCCACCCTGCCACTAAACCATCTCTTGTCACATAGCACTACCTAAGCGCTTACATGGTCTTTTACATGCCCATAGTGGCACAAGGAAGCCTGAAATGTAAATTACGTTCATGCAGTGGTGCAAGCAGGATGCGGCAGCACCAGCTGCTCGACTCAGTCGGTAACTTTTCTCCCCACTGTTCTTCTCTGCAGGTGATGAGGTGGGAGATTTTCCTTGCGGAGAGGAGCCTCCTGCCAGGCAGTGTGAGAGTGGGACCACCTGCAGGGAGTACTGGCAAGGGCCCAACTACGGCATCACCAACTTTGACAATATCCTCTTTGCTGTGCTCACCGTCTTCCAGTGCATCACCATGGAGGGATGGACAGACATCCTCTACAATGTGAGTCCGCTGATGGGGCTGTAGGACTCCTGGGTTGCTGTTATGCGTTGCCTTAGTTTGCAAAAGGTTGTTCTGGAAAAAAAAGTGATTTAGTTTGTGTGTTTTTCCCCTGTTGATTAGCACCTCACCCTGCTTTTTAGGAGGATGGTCCCTATTTTCTTGAGGGTTGTTCTGCAGGTCCTGTAAGAGCCTTTGAACCACTATCATGGCCTGCAGTGGTTTGCGGCTACAGACTTTCTTACCTGCAATATGATGTCTTGTGTCAGTGTGGTGTTGCTACGTGTGAGGACTTGTGTGTGTCATTCCAAGATGCTGGTGTGCTCTGCTGTAGGATGGGTGGCTGAGTAGGAGCCTGTTCACACAATGTCCCATAGAAAATCAGCTACCAAATTGCACGATACAGAGTGGCAAAACCAGTGACTCGTTAATATTTTGTACCTAGAGGATTCCTCTCTTGACTGGGTTTAGCCTTTGTGACCAGACTTGTAATCTACATCAGTGAACAGCATCAGCTGGATGCTAGCACCCCGATCCAGTTTTAGCAACTCCAATACCATTTTACAACAGTCACCTTCACACCTGGCATGACTCTGTTGGCTGTAGAGAAGACAGACCAGGCTGAATTTCTCCTTGCTAGGGTCTTTGCTGGCTGGGCCTCCTGCCAGCCAGGACCATGACTGTTGCAGCCACTGAAGGTCAAAACCTCTTGGTTAGTTTTACTATTTCCAATTTTACACAGAGTAGGGCAACCTCACCCAACTAGCAACAACTGAATGACTCCACTGTCTTTGAGGTAATGCTCTCGTTTGTGTCTGTAATTTACACTCACTCTTTTGAGGTGTCCTATCTTGAGAGGCAAGTGCCTAACCCTTGCTAACAGGCTGGGAATAGAGCCCTGCAGCTGGTTTCCAGTATCTGTATCGTATTTCCTTGCAAAGCGTGACAGCTGCTCTTCGGGAGCTGTAAGGGACCTTTGTATCTGTTGCAGACCTGTTCTCCCCAGCTTTGTCATTTGCTTAGATCTTCACATGTTTCTACAGCAGGTGTAAAGTGCTGTGTTGGGGTCTGGAGGATGGTCCAGCTGTTTTGTATTTCCATTTTCTGTGGTAGTAAATGACTTGATCAAGTACAGGGGCAGGGAGGAGAGAGCGAGTCATGATGACTAGCAACGTATGGCTACACTGGCTGCTGCTTTCCATTGACTTCAGAAGGAAGGACAATCTGACAGCCACACATAGATGATCTGAATTATCCCATGCTGTCCTAGCCAGAAGTGCCAATGTGGAAAAATAATTAATATTGTCTCCAGACCATTTCACTGGCCAGTAGGACCACAAAGTGTTCGGTCTGCTTCATTATAGATTCTAGAGCCATGCTGGGCTCTTCTGCAGACCTTCCACTGAGGGTTTCTGTAGCAACAGGAAACTATTATTAATATCAACCACAGTAAATTGCAAGGTACAATTCTGCTGTGTTTGAAGCCAATATATCTCATTTATTACCTGCTCCATTCATCGCTCAGTTCCTCCATTTCTTCCCGGTCTCTGCCCACTTAGAGCGATCTCCAGAAGGGCCCATGTCCTTGCTGCATGCCCTCCCCTTGCCCTGAAACTTTGTCACACAACCTATTTGTCCCATTCAACAATCCCACTACTTCTTTCTAGTGCCAACTCTTGTAAGAAAAGCCCATTAGCATCCTGGCTGGAATTGATTAATCAATGTGTGGTGTATTAGGTCATCTTCTCCCAAACAGCCTTTTGTACCGCATGCAAAAAACAGAGCTTACTATTGGGGTATTGATTTCAGGGGTTGCTTTGAAAACTATTACAGTAGCATTCTAGATATCCATTAATCTAACTGGAAGCGGATGCCTGCACGAGATACAGCTGTTTTGTATAGTGTCTAGTCTTGTCTGAGACCCAGCTTAGGTTTTAATGCTTGGGGGGGTTCAAGTCTCTGACAGACATGAGGGTCTCTGGGCAGTCTGCTTGTTGGGTGGAGGGTGAGCGTTGTGTGTCGTGCCACAGGACCGCTCGGCAGATGGTGTTTGTGTAACTGCTGCCAGCAGCTACCTCTGTCCCCCCTCCCTGGGCCCTGCCCTGTATGCCGTGTCACCCCCTCCCTGCGCTGCCCTGCTTGTTGAGGAGCTGGCTGTGCTTTTGCAGGTTAGTAGCTGAGAAAAGATGTGGGTGGAGCAGATTGACTCTGTGCAGCCCTTAACTTTTTCACAGCTGCAGTCATCTGCTGTTTTCTGGCTGCCTGGCTTTCAGCTCGGTTTCTTCTGTGCCTACTCTAAGTTCATCAAACTTAAAAATGAAACAAAAGCCCAAACCGTGCTGCAGCAATGACTGAAAATGCAGCATGGAGCAAATGCATTTTAATGCTGCCTGAATCAGCTGGATCCCGACTGGACCCATACTGGGTTGATATGGGAGGAAGCTGGAAGATGTTGCCTCTTGCATCCAGAACTTGAACAGTGGGGTAAGCGAACACGTGCCAGGGTCATTCTTGGTTTGTGGAGGATGGGAAGCAAGCCAGCATGTTTAGGCTCAGACAACAGGTGAGTGTCAGAGGTTATTACTTGTTCAGGGAGCTTTGATTCACCATTTGGGTTCTCCACTGTTGAGGAGAATGTTTTTGGCCAGGAAAATTTTGCAGTGGTGGAGCTAGTTTCCCTGCCAGCCCCAGCCTCTGGTCTCCTCAAGGAAACCAGCATTCCCCTGATGCAGGATACTCATCAGATCTGAGCTGTGAACTTGCTTTCAATGTTTTGCTTAATTAAGATTTGCAAAAGGCTGTGGGACCACAAGAGGCAAGACGTAGTCTATGTAAACTGTGATTATGCATTAGTAAGAAAAAAGGCTGATGCTTTTTCTCCCACTAACTAACTCAAAAGCAGGGAAGGCTGCTGTTCCTCAGGCGTAGCAGAGCCCTTCCTTCACCCTTCCCTTTCTGTGTCCACTGCCACATGTTGGGCTTGGTTGGGGCGGGTTTGTTGATGGTCCAAACCCTCTCCCTTCCTGCTGTTAAAACAGACAGCCCCACATGGGTTCCGTTCTTAGGGCTGAAATCCCTTTGATGCCAGGCAGTCTAGGACTGAGACCCATTACGGGGAAGTTGAGGTTACAGACTGCTTCCTTAATAGACCATTCATTTCCTTCTGGAAAATGGTGATTGATTGATTGCCCTGCATCATTAGGGCTATGTTATTGCTCTTCTTTTCCTGCTACTACATTTGTTGCAGGGTGTTCAGAAGAGTGAGGTTTTTTAATTTGCAGTGGTGTTGGTTGGGGTCAGTCACAATGTGAGACATGCTTTACCAGCTCAGCATCAATTTAACCGAGGGAGAGAGCTGGCTCTGTGCTGAAAGCAGCTTTGAGACTGAAAAGTCGGTCTGTGGTGGCATCAGGCAAGCTGCAGGGTTTGGTGTAGACTGATGTTCAGGGAAGAGGGAGCTTGGGCTGGAGTTTGATAGTTTGGCTCAGGTCCTTCCAAAGAAAGAGCTTTGTAATGAAGGGTTATTTCGTCATTTCCGAAGGACTGAGATGACTTTCTATGTGGTCCAGACGCAGCCTGCCTACAGAGTCAGAGAAAAATAGCATCAAAGGCTAGGCTTTGCAGTAAGTAATCTACCCTGCAAATACTCACTCCTTCTCTTGGGATAAAATGAGGAATTGGGAGGGCAGGGCAAATGCAAGTTCAAAAATCTCAGCCCAGTTTTTCCTTGCTGATCCACTATTTATACTAGCACAGAGTTTCATTTTAATTAGGGCCAATGAAAGCTTTCTAGCAAGACTTTATCTGGAAGGCGATTTATGCTTGCAGCAAAAAGACTGAATCATCAGTCGGGTGAAATGCTTTAATAATCAGCTGGGGAAAACTCCTTCCTGAATCAGCAGTGCAATTGCTCCCAACAAGCACTTCTGTGAGCTGCAGGTTGGTCAGCTGTGGCTTGTTTCTGCTCAAAAAGGTCCACTGAGCAACAGGTGATTTAGGAAAGTTGCTGTGTCCTGAGGACAGGCAAGCACCTTTTCTCCAGCAAATGAAGTATTCTCACCTCCTGCTAATTCAGGACTTCAGTGTGATCTGGGAATGCATTAAAATAGAATAACTAAATGATTTTCCTCGGTGTGGGAAGACTCGGCATCACAATCTGGTGTTGTGAACAGTTCTTCCGTCTAATTCAGTGCAGACAGATCAGAGATCCTTGAAGTACAGGCAGAGCATCTTCCGGACCATGAAATCGGGGGAAAACCTACCTAGAGCACCAGCTCACTGTGGGCAGCAATGCTGCTCAAGTACAACACACCCTAGAGTAGCAAACCCAACTTCTTTTTCCAGAGCTGGGACTAGTTTAGTGCCAGGGTGGTCCAGCGACTGGAGTTGGTCCTCTCGGCTATATGGACCAGCCCCTACTCCGGGCTGATGCAGCTATTCTGGGTCCTAGTTCTGTGGTGCTGACGCGGGCTCTGCTCTGGGCTCTGTTGCTCAGGGTAGGCGCTTTCTGCGGTAAACAGTGTTCACCCAGAGCATCAAGCTGGGGTTGGGGGCGGTGTGACACAGCAAGGGTTGCTGTGTCCGCTTTGCCTGTGCCTGGGGGAGCCATTAGTGAGGTAAATGGTAACTGGTGATCGGATTATCACTTGGGAGCATTATGTAAATTTATTCATTAGTTTCCATAGAGTATTTTCATACGCTGTCTTACCATGCCGCACTTGTTATCATGCTTTAAGTGTAGCTGTCTGACAAGAACCAGGGGCTGCTGGAGCCTGAGGATGTTAGCGTTACTGAGAGAGAACATTCCCAGTGATGGCCTCCAAGTTCTTGGCAAAAACAAGGTGCACAGTCTGGGTAAAGAACACTGAGGCTGAGTACTGGGGACAAAGAGGTTGGAGGAAACAATGCGGATATTCAGCAAGAGAAACTGTGGTCTCCTGGGATATGAGTCCTGATCTTCCTCCAAATCTAGCTTTCAAACTAAACAATGGTAATTTAGATCA